ACTTCACCTTCAAACAGGAATGTAAGTGCGGGCGCTTCTCTCGAGCCACACGACGGACGGTCCAATACAATGGTCCAATATGTGTGTGTGCGCTCTCTGCGCTGCTTCAGAGTGGCCTGTATCAATCAGGTTTCAGGTTTCAGACGATGCCCGGGCGTGAGGGAGTGGCATCGTGCAGGCTGGCCCTTGCTGGTCACTATCGCGGGTTGGTTTGATCGTCCTCTTCACGTGCAACATGCACAAACAAGGACTTGAACAACTGCAAGGTGACTGACTCCCCTTAATTAAAGGACTAGCTTCCCACAAGCAGGACGCTTTTGTCACAAAAACGTCTGTGGGCTCATCAGGTCCCGTCGCACAACGTGGCACTTCGTCACTGTGAGAGAAGCCTTTTGTCTTCATGTTGCAGACTGTAAAGTGCTGGAGCATGGAGAGCAGCCAGGCGTGTGTGCGTGAGAGAGAGGCAGGCCAGTGCGGAGGCATTAGTATGCACACTCAGAAACAAAGACAGCCAGCTGCAAACAGATGAAGCTCCCTTCATACCACCTCATCTGTTCACCAGTACACAGTGTGCCACCTGTCAGCGTTTTGGTTGGTGGTCGTTTGAGGCGTGACACTTATAGAATTAAATCTATTTAGTTTCATAATGAAAGCAGTCAATAGTATGTGTGTTTACTAAATGAGCAGATGAAGCGAGAAAAAATAATTGATTCTTCGATGCATGCCTGACAACGTTTTTTTTGAGTTTATAGTTGTCCATCGGTGGCTGCCAGCTAAATGCAGTCAGTGTGGTGTGTGATGTGTGTAGTGGGAGCAGACGAGACGAACCTCCAACAACCGGAGCGGCTCTGCTCCTCGCTATTCTTCAGTAGGATCATTGCTTAACTGACTAGAGGCTGTGCATCTCTCTCTCAAGATGATTCAATGCATACATCAATACATGGTCTGCGATGCCATTCAAAAACTATACATAACGATACTTCGACACGTTGCGATTCAGCTCCGATTCAATCTTATTTCATAGTATTCTCATGACTATGATTGGCTTAATGCAGCTCATTGCTATGGTTGTGATTTAATCTGAATAACCAGAATGAATTTCCAATTAGGAACGATTGTTCTAAGCTGCTTTCATTCTATGTTGCATTACAAAGGTATTAAGTAAGAACCCAGCTGAAACCCCCTTTAAGTTATTTTGAGTTTGTGCTTCAAAAACCCTTTTTTCAATAGCAACAGTTATATACAATTATAGCAACAGATGCTGCCTACCAACATATTTTAAGGGAAAAAAATAAATAATAATTTGATAAATGAATTGAATTTAACTGATGGTAGTGTGTTTACATTTCAACAACGTTCACATGCATCGCACTTTAAAGTGTGTTGTCCGACTTGCAGCCCATATAAACAGCAGACCAGTAGATCCCATAAGAGGGAACCAGTGAGTATAGGTGGGTGTCTCTTTGTCTCTGCACCTGAGAAGATTAGGCAGAACGCATTTTAAGATGAATTGTTTGTCATGGTTTAGTTTCATTTAAACACATAAAAATGTCTTCAACAATTTCCAGGCCTTACACAACTAAAGAGTACTCATTTTAAGTACAAGGCTCTGATCTACAGACTTTTCTCTATGACTTGAATGCAGCACTCACTTGGTACTCGAGCATTGCGTTCAATTCCGTCTCCACCGCCCACGCTGTACTATGTCACCTGGCTTTGTTCTGCGCCCTATAAGGAAGTCCACTTCCTCCTGCCCTTAAGTTGACCTGCAGTGGGTTAGGGTTAGGGAATGATGCTGCAGACGCTGCCTCCAGACAGTCCTACTGCTCAGTCTACTGTGAGCTGCGTTCACAACACGTCTGACGCACCTCGATATCTACAAGGCATTACAGATTATTCTAACGTTGGTTGAGCTGCAGAAAAAACAAGAATCCTACTTTGTGTTTTCTGCAGGTAAAATAAAATACTCTGAACGGGTGTACGACGCCTGCATGGAGGCCTTCGACTGTCTGCCCCTCGCCGCCCTGCTCAACCAACAGTTCCTGTGTGTGCACGGTGGACTGTCACCAGAGATCAACTGCCTAGACGACATAAGGAAAGTAAGTGATCACTCTCATCACTAAGCACATGAAAAAAACATCATTCTGTCATCTAGAAAACCAATAAATGGCCTGATTCTATTTATTTGAAATGTGTGTTTGTTTTGCTCAACAGTTAGACAGGTTTAAAGAGCCTCCGGCATTCGGGCCCATGTGTGACCTGATTTGGGCGGACCCCGGCGAGGACTACGGCAGTGAAAAGTCAACCGAACACTTCAACCATAACTCCGTCAGAGGCTGCTCTTACTTTTTCAGGTATTAGACAGCATCGCTGCCTTCATCACTCTAGCACCAAACAGAGCAGATACAAATGCAGCACTTTATTTGTTTCTTTTTATATCAAATTAGGGGTTTCTTTATGTAAATTAAAGCCGCTTGATCAGAGTAGGAAACAATAGTCTGGCACCTGCTCATGCAGGCATGTCAACGCATTGATGTCAGGAGGCATTTTTTACTGTTGTGGTTGTTTTTATAATGGTGCCAAAGTGAGAGTGATTCAGGTATTTGGAGCCCAGCTGTGATTGGTTTAGTAAATGACTTGTGTAAAGCTAGCAGTACGAGGAATAACTTTACACACAAACTTAGTCATGGATTTACAAATAGCCGTTCAGTCAAATCCCTTCCTGGTCATGTTGATGTATGAAATGTTGATCGTCTACACATTTTTCTTGCTCATTCCTGATGGATTAGTAGCGCGGTGAAGTAAAGAAAGGGAGTTTAAAAACCCTCCTTGTCCACTCCGGCTGTAGTCCAGCTTCTCCAGAGGCCAGCAGGGCCAATACACACCAGAGTGCTCAGCACCTTTAAACCGTCCAGAGGGCGTGGCATGCTGAAAGTACATATCAACGTATTTCCACAGGCAGTGAAGTCCAGAGTGGCCTCATGCTGTTCCTTTTGAATGGTTTCACTTTGGAACAAGCTTTGCTTCCACTCGGTGCTTTCTCTTAACGGTCTGTCTCTGGTTTTCTTTCTTGTTGCAGTTACTCGGCCGTCTGTGACTTTTTGGTAAATAATAACTTGCTGTCAGTAATAAGAGCCCATGAAGCACAGGATGCAGGGTAAGTAGAGTTACCATTTTTCATTTCCCGCGTATTGTGATAAAGAATATGTGGATGAGCCTTTTGGTCTGCTGCTCAACAGGTATCGGATGTACAGAAAAAGCCAGACCACAGGCTTCCCTTCTTTAATCACAATCTTCTCAGCTCCAAATTACCTCGACGTCTACAACAACAAAGGTCTCCATCTTCTTTTTCCCCTCACTCTCGCTGTTGTGTTTTTTCCGTATTTACCAGGCTTCAGTCCTTGAATCTCTCTCCCTCTTTCAATCCCAGCTGCTGTGCTAAAGTATGAGAACAACGTGATGAACATCCGACAGTTCAACTGCTCCCCCCACCCTTACTGGCTGCCCAACTTCATGGATGTATTCACATGGTCTTTGCCTTTTGTTGGGGAGAAAGGTACATTTGTTGTTTAATTAAAAGGAGATGTGTGTGGAAATCCCAAAATAGAACCTGTGTAGAGTTGACTTTGTGGAATATACCGACCCCGACAGAGGCATTGTGTTTTCGGCTTCTCCATCCCGTTCTCAGCAAAGCCTTGAAGGAATGTCTTCATATTTGGCACAAACGTCCACTTGGACTCAAACGTGAACTGATAAGAATTTGGTGGTCCAAATGTCACTGTGACCTCACAAAACGTTTTTGTCCGTAACTCAAGAATAAATTTGCTGATTATGACAATTTCACAAAAATGTCAAAAAAAGTGAATAGAGTGATGACATTTTGGACGGACATGGATGTAAACTGTGACTTGGCTGGTTGGCGTAAGCACACAATCGTGAGTCGGTCATTTTAGTTTGGTATTCAAGTTGCTGTTATATCATTTGTTAGCCAAAAGGGAACCTTTGTAAAGCAGAACATGTACATTACTGATTAAAACATTTGTCATTTTGTTTGTTGTTACCGCTAAAGGCTCTTTGTTGTATGCAAGTATTTATGGTTCTATAGCTGCCTGTAGAACGTCAGGACATTCAGGTGTAATTCACATAAATGTATCCCTTTAGATAATTCAGATTTGGTTTCCACCTAATCACATGACACCCCCCCCCCCAACAGTGACGGAGATGCTGGTGAATGTACTAAACATCTGCTCTGACGATGAGCTCATGTCAGAGGGAGATGACCTCTATGAAGGTAAGATTGAGAGAGCAGAAAACATTGTTGCGCTGAATATGACACCTGTTACATTAAATGACAAATGTTGTTATTGTTATTATTGCCAAGGTTTTAGTCTATATTAGTGTTGTACCATGATGGTAAAGAAATACTTTTTCTAAGACATTACCATTGTGGCAAGAAAAAAATGTTGAAAATTAGGAATATTTCACAATTTGTTGTGATAATTTAGAAATTGAAAGGTGTACGTCAGCACTGAATGGTGGTTAAAGTTCATGTCATTGTGCAATGTTTTAGCTCTAGTTGTCCAAACAGGATTCAATTTGATTCAATTCAATTTATTTTGTACAGTCCAAAATCACAAATACAAATTCTCCTCAGAGGGCTTTACAATCTGTACACATACGACATCCTCTGACCTTTGACCCTCACATCAGAACAGGAAGAACTCCCCAAAAAGGGGGAGAAAAGAGAAAGATCCTTAGAGAGCAACAGAGGAGGATCCTCTATCAGGATGGACAGAAGTGTGATAGATGTCATGTGGACAGAATGAACAACATTACAGAGTTACAATACATTCAATGCATATGAGAGGAGAGCGGGAACCTAAAAACATTGGACCTCAGATTTTGGAATAAAAACTCATCTGGTTTTTGTTCTGCAGCGGCAGGAAACAGAAGATCAGATCAGGTTTCATGTTTCTCTGTGAATCAACTCAAAATGAACAGGAAACCAAAACCCCTCGTTTCAAGTTTCAGAAACACCCGACAATCTTCTCTTGAAGCTCCGACAGTCAGATGATAGATATACATACTGTATATATTAAAACCACATACCTCATAATAACCAAATCACAGCCCTGAGACATCAGCTTATCCAAGAAGGAAGTGACATCACATCGCTGGTGACAATGATGAAGATGAAGATGTTACTGGCTCCAGTCTAAGAATACTGCACACCTGGGTTGTAGATTACCTCCCTGGTTCTGTTCTCTTATTCTGTAAATTGCATTTTCAGTTTAGTTGTTAGAGTGGATGAGTAGAACTCCTAGAATGCTGGGAGCTGTACAGCCATTTATACGCACAGTCTAGGTCCCACATATCTGTGCTGACGAGGGAGTTCTGCCGCTACGCTTTGAAACACATAATTAAACCCTCAGTTCATCTCTGAAATGTTTCATCCTTTGTTCTCCTCACACAAGGCTTTCGTACAACGCGTTGTTCATTTTAAGGAAGTGCTAAAATGAAATCGATAGCAAAGGATGTAAACGTCTGTATGTGACACTCAAGGCGGTCTTAACTTTAACGCTCTGAAACTCGTTCCAGGTGGAACCTCGGCGATGCGCAAGGAGGTCATCCGGAACAAGATCCGCGCCGTGGGGAAGATGGCCCGGGTCTTCGCAGTCCTCAGGTCTGTCCCCCGTCCTTTTCATCTACTCGTGGTGGCATTCAGATCACAGTGAGCTCTGTGCAAATCGAATCGCAGGTCAGCTGAGTGCACAATGAAGTTGTGATTGAAAACACAATGTTAGGATTAATGAACTGGCATGAGATGAGTCATGACGCAGACAGACCGTATAATGACATTAGACATTATTCCAGATCAATGCTGCTGCAAGAGCGGCCTGACGCTCGGACCAGCGCATACGGGTCAGTCAGAGGGTGTTTCAGAAACAAAATCAAGATTTACAAATGGATCCTGATCATTAATAGGTCTGACTTTGACCACAGTGCTTTGCAAGAGGAATGTAATGTCATGTGCACAGTTATTCCAAAGTCCCATTTCAGTTGTTAATCCCAGTTTCTCCCGACTCTGAGGAGAAAAAGATGGATGATGTGAAAATTCAAGTGTGTCGGCATGAAAATGGGTCAACACGAATCTCAACACTTGCAAGCGATCCTTAAAAACATCGCCTTGGCTGCTAAAACTGACCCACTTACAGAACCGGGACACTTTAGAGCTGACAGTCCGTCTAGTGAGGATTGAACCTGTGACCTCGTGGTTACTGGCTTACCGGTTAACGGCTTGCTGACTTGTAACGTGTGTGCATGCCCTGTTTTTGATTTTGTTTTCGGACCAGGGAGGAAAGCGAGAATGTGCTCACGCTTAAAGGCCTCACCCCAACTGGAACTCTTCCCGTGGGAGTGTTGTCGGGGGGAAAGCAGACCTTGCAGACTGGTAAGTGTCTTTTATACTCGGTCACTCTGTTGTTTGATTTCCTCCTCGCTAGCTGCCATTCAGCATGACCCGCTGTACAGCCCCTTGTCGTGATACAGGCGGGTCAAAAAGTGACAAAGCAGTGATCCGAGTGAGTTATTAATAACTCCCCTCCCTCTGTCTCGCCCTCACACACACACCAAGTGCTGCAGCGGTTTGCGGGTCGGGCTGTTCAAATTGGTTCTCATACTGGGGTGCGGCTAATAAATAAAATAAAAAAAACTGTCCATCACTTCACTAACCCCTGAGGAAACGCCTTGTCACCAAGCATGTGGTTTTGTTTTGTTTTTTGCTGCCAGCAAATCTATATTTTTATATATCTGTGTAGAATGCTGAAGAATTCTAAACACTGAGTCAGTGGCACCAGAAAATAGAAATATGGAATATATCATGTAACCTTAATCCCATACCATTTTCAACGTAGACGTTCAAAAATACTATTTCTTAATATACGTGAAAACATTGGCGACCTGAAACCTTTCCCTGCCGCAGCAGACATGTACCCTGTATTTGGCAGGTACTCATTTCATTCCCTAATACTAGGGAAAGCAGTATCACTATTATAACGCTTCACAAAGCAGAAAAAATACCTTTATTTGCTTTATGCTGAGAGTTAGATTGACTGATGCCTGGCTCGGTCCATAGGTAACAACATCTGCCTGCCACCATGTCCAAAGCTCACGAGTTAGCACTTCATATATCGCTTGTACCATCCGTGAGTGTAAAAACAACAATCTTCCATTTTATTTGCTGTACTTTTTCTTTGCAGGAACAGTAACCGGTTGTCTCGCAACTGTTTTTACCTTTGAACAGGGCCTGGCTAGCTATCTGCCCCTGTTTCTAGTAATTATGCTAAGCTAACCACCTGCTAGCTCCAGCTCATTTATATATAATTATTTTTTAAACTGTTTATCGTCAATATAGTTATATCGAACAGTACATGCAAGCCCCTACACACGTACATACGCACACCTATTTACAGACAACAAATAACAACAATGCTTATGTAAAATATCATAATATAATAGATTAATAAGGAAAGGAAAGGGGGAGAACCAAATAAAGTAAAATAAATAAAAATGTACATATATACATGCAATATAAACTTGATCAAAATAAAATGTGCCACCATTATCAAGTTCCAGGGACTTCTCGTTACCTCTGCTCTGTTACCTGTAACTGTCCATTACTTTCAATATGCCAATAAAGATTCTATCTATCCATCCATCCATCCATCCAGCTCATATTTGCTATACAAACGTGGTATCGCTATTCAAGTGAAACCGAAAATAGCGAGTTTTTTTTCTCATACAGTTTGATGGCAGAAAATGTTCACATCTTTGAAAAACATTGGCAGAAACACTGCTGTCTGTCCCAACATCCTGTTTAGGCGGACGAGCTTCCTGTGCTGCTTGTCCCTTTAAAGGGTTCTAGGGGTACTTCTCAAGTCTCTTAATGTCATCCCCGTTTCCCTCACTTGGGTCCTTTCCTTGCGTCCTAGTCCCTCCCACCAGGGATGCATGGAGGAAACCATGCGAGGAGAGAGGAACGAGGAAATATGTTTTAAGAGACATGAGACGTTCTTTCCTCAGTTGCGTCACGTGAAGCGACGTCTGTTTCTGATGACGGATGATCAGCTGATCACAGCTGATCATCCGTCATCAGATCACAGCTGATCCAGCTGGCAGTCGGCTTTAACAGCTGGAGAGACTTTTGATAAGTTAGTGTGTTCACATGATCACTGTACTTAATAACAGTAACTAATAACACTAATAACTAATAAAGACACACAGTGATCACCACTGTAGAGGTGTTTCTCTCTGTAGTCTGTTAACAAACTGTGTCCTGTGTTCTGTTTATAAGCACAGGATCCATTTCTACCGGCGGAATGCGATCGTCTTATTTATGAATTATTTGTGTCTGTATGTTTTGAAACTGTGACTGTGACGTCATTATTAAATAACCCAGAATATGATTATTGTTTCTCTTAAATGATAAAACTCATCAAACACTCAGGAATGATGTAAAAAGTGTTTAGTCTCTCCAGCTCTCTCTGACTTTAATTGTATTCATAATAAAAGTTATTGAGGGAAACATCGGATCATGAAAACACAAATCTTTCTAATAAATGTAGAAAGTTGTTTGTGGTCCTTTTGTTGTTCAGACTACAATGAACATTTATTTAAACCAGATGTTGAATCAGAAACCTAAACAAATATAAAGCTTGAGTTTATTCTGTGATCTGTCTTCACTCTGGTGTTAAACTCAGTCAGTCAGTCCGATCGGCTGCAGCGTCCAATCACATGACTGATGAACAATGAGGGGGCGTGTCGGCCGTTAAAAGACTTCCTGGAAGTCTGTTCTCGTGGTTCCTCGCTCATGGCTCCTCCGAGGTCCCTCCTCTCGCCTCGATCCTCGCTTCTCAGAGCTACATTAGAGTTTTGGGACGGCTGTCAATATGGCGGCGCAGAAACAACTTCCGGTTCAAATGAGGATCAAGGAGCGAGGAAACGACACTGAAGAGACTTGAGAAGTACCCCGATCAATGATGGCATGCCACAGGAAGCGCATACTAGACTAGACTGACTGGAGCCCGCCCTCCCCATGCAGCAAAAAACTTTTGGGGCTCAGCTGCGGGCCGGCTGTTTGGGGGGAGGTCACCCTGTCACCTGGAAGTGGCCACTGGCCCTCTGATCAAAAGGTCGGCGCCTGGTCTCGCCCGCTGAGAGGACATGCTGGGGAGTCTGTGCCGCGCTGGAGTCTGTACAGAAGTTGCGGAGCAATTGAAGGAGAAAACCACACGTCGCTGACCTTTTGGGAGAATGTCATTGTCCGTGTCCGCTCCCCCAGCCACAGCTTTCACATCAGTCGGTTTGAACAAAGGGAGGGCAACTGATTGTGTATTTATGTCCACCCCTCTCGATTCTTCACTTTGTTAGCTGCTACTGTACTACTGCTGATATTGTGCAGGGGGGGTAAACATCTGCAGGCCGCTATCCCAATACAGCTCTCAATCATCTTGAATGCATAGCCATTTCTCTGAGAAATCACACTCCATGCACTCAGATGATTTTCTACATTTGGATATTGAATTCGACGATACACCCACACATCCAATAAGAAGTGAATTTGTCCGTTTTTGTCATCAAATAGGAAGAGTTCTGAAGGTTCAAACATCCTTTTCAAAGGAGAAAAGTTAATCAAATTCTGTTAATGAGGCTGTGAGGCTGCACTGTACACATGTGTCGCCTCGGCCTTAGACTCTTAGTGCTCACCCAAATCCCCCCCCCTCCGGCTCTCCACTCCTAAGTCCTCGTGACCCTTTAACACCAACACCGTCTTAACCCTCCAGCAGGCTTCCTCTCTCTGCCCTTCCCACCGACTAACACGTGTTGATCAAGGGTGAATTTCTTTCCCTCCATAATGACTGTGCCACATGTGTTGGCCTGTATTCTGCTGTCTGTTTACCGTTTGACATTACTGTTTGACTACTTTGCTGTCTCTGATGACTCCCCTCCCCCCCCCCCCTCCCCCCTTTCTTCGACTCTCTTTAACGTAGCTACGATTGAGGCAGCTAAAGCACAAGGTACGCATGGCTGTCAGGCTCAAATCTCATTACTTTGTTTTGTGTGTGATGTTCACCGTTTAACTTTAAAGTGTTTACAAGTGTCCCACTGTCTCTCTCTCACTGACTGTTGTATCACTGTAGATTACCTAATCGCCGGTTGCTCTTGCATTGTCAGTGTCTGTCGGATCACGCTGGTTCTGTCACTGTAACATGTTATGTACTCGGTGGCAGAATAAAAGAATCATAGATTATATATGAAAATATGAACATATCACAAATTGAAAAGAAGCTTGTGTACGACTAAAACTACTACAGCAAACTGTTTTGGGAGCAACAGTTGCATGAGACGGTGTGAATGCATTTAAAGAGGTGCTTATTCATATTTCCACCAGTCTTGGTTGAACCAGTCTGGAGTCGGTCTATGCTGCAGAAGAGCTGGTTATGTGTATCGGGTTTGGGACGCGGCTTGCTCCTTGTTGACAAGGATTTCCCGGCTTTGGTCACAAGGGACTTTTCCTGCCAAGTGTAGCTCCCCACACGGAGAAAAGCTCGCTAAGACCCGACTAAGATAAGACCGGGGACGTCCCTGCCGGGGACATTTTCAGAAGCTAATCCTGTTACACCGTTGGGCTGCTGCTACACTGTCTGCCCCTTCTGCTTGAGACTGTATCAAATAGATAAACGTAAAATATTTAGTCCTATCAATAGATAAGGGAGTACAGTATAAGCTCACAGGCAGAGTGCACAGTGTGTTCAGGCAGAATAACTTAAAGCAGTGCTTCCCAACCTGCTCTGTGTATGACACTATGGAATTGTCAGTTATTGGGTTGATTTTAAGTTCATTCTGAGTTTTAACTCATTTCAACTGTGTATCATTACTTTAAGCTATCTAGCTCTGCTTTTTACTTGTCACTTTTAGCTTATTATTCTTACTGTTTATTCTTTACTTTTAACTAAGTATTTAAGTACATTTTGGCTAATAATTGATCTGTTAATTTGTTACTTTCAGCTTATTTTTTTAGGCTGTTTGTCAAATTATTCAAACTATTCAAACCGCTTTCATGCCATTGACTTTAAACCTGTTATCTTATTATTTTAGCGATAGATCTCAGTCTGTGTTCTTGCTCACTGCTTGTCATCACTTGTCTGAGAGGTGAAGCAGCTGAGCTGTGACACAGTGAAGCTACGCTAGCTTCACAGGCTAGCTGACTTATTAGGACTATTTACTGAAGGGCAGCATCACACACATCTCTATTTCTATTTGGATGTTTAGTTTTCTCTCAAACACCAATATGTAAATATATCTCTTTGATCAAATTGAATATTTTTGAGCTACTCCAGAATCTTACCATGTTCCCATGGCAACTGCAGAAGTAGCCTCTGTTGGGAATCACTGAGCTCACGTGTTCATGTCCCACATCTCTGGTTGTGCAAGAGTACCCTCGATGTGCCTCTGAATGTTGATCCACCTCTATAACCCTCCCCTGGGCGTGTCCATCTCACCTTTGGATTGATCATTGAAATGATTGAAGGTATTTCTGAACACGTCTCCTTTTCATTTGCACACATTTTCTGGTTTCCTCGGCTGTTTCCGGACTTTACGTAAGTCTACCAAGTGTGAGGTGTTGTACTGTTCTAGCTTAGGAGGCGTTGTTTACCTGTGCATGTGTTCACTGGTCGTCCGTACTGTGCAATTCTACAAGGAATCCCTTTTGACTTTCTGAAGGTTCAGCCTCTGATCTGATTGTTCTTATTTGGTGTCTCTTCAGCCATTCAAGGCTTCTCTCCCACGAGGAAGATTCGTAACTTCGAGGAGGCGCGCGGCCTGGACAGGATAAACGAGCGGATGCCGCCGCGCAAAGACAGCCAGCAGCCTGACGGCACCACGATCAACAGCAACACCTCCAACAAGAACGGCACTGACGGATAAGCAACCCACATCCCCCCTCTCTTTCTGTCTCCCCCTCCCTCTGTCTCCCCCTCTCTTTCTGTCTCCCCCTCTCTTTCTGTCTCCCCCTCCCTCTGTCTCCTCCTCCCTCTGTCTCCTCCTCCCTCTGTCTCCCCCTCTCTTTCTGTCTCCTCCTCCCTCTGTCTCCCCCTCCCTCTGTCTCCCCCTCCCTCTGTCTCCTCCTCGCTCTGTCTCCTCCTCGCTCTGTCTCCCCCTCTATTTCTGTCTCCTCCTCCCTCTGGCTCCTCCTCCCTCTGGCTCCTCCTCCCTTTCTGGCTCCTCCTCCCTTTCTGTCTCCTCCTCCCTCTGTCTCCTCCTCCCTCTGTCTCCCCCTCTATTTCTGTCTCCCCCTCCCTCTGTCTCCCCCTCCCACTGTCTCCCCCTCTATTTCTGTCTCCCCCTCCCTCTGGCTCCCCCTCCCTCTGTCTCCTCCTCCCTCTGTCTCCCCCTCCCTCTGGCTCCCCCTCCCTCTGGCTCCTCCTCCCTCTGGCTCC